AAACGACACCCTCACTAAAGCATTTTCTCAATCTCCCTGGTGTCGATGAAATGGCACTAGATTTGTCCGGGAGACAAAAAACAGCCTTTCGTTATATATCTAGATATGACATGGATCAAATATGCATTCAATGGTAAATTCGACAATGCTACGAAGGAAATCGAAGGAATGATGCAACCACTTGGATTGCTGAACGCCCAACGCTTTACTCTTAGTTCTTTTGTCAAAATGAAATTACTAGTTACGGAAGATTTTTGCGCACTCGAAGTAAAAAGTAGCAATGTTTACTTTTTAAACAACGATTGTTATCGCAACGAAAAGTGATTTTTGAGTTGAAAACATGAGAACGTAAGACATATCATATGTCGTGGCGGGCTACTTTTTCACGCCGTACGGGTTATTGTTATGAAGAAAAAAATTATTGGTGTATTCATTTTAACTATTTCTACACCGCCTACAAGCGTTGTCGAACAAACCGAAGGTGAAATTATCCTTCATAGGATTTCGGACTTCGGGGTATTCAGTATGGTTCATTAAATTAATAACGGAAACTGTAATAATAATAATAGCAGGAACAATAATAATCAAAATGTTGCTAAGATATTGGCAAAACTCCGGTACACTGTTGTCTGCGGTGAAGACCGAACGCGCCATTACTCCTTCCGGAGGTTAACACGTTCGCTACCACACCATGCAAGTCCTTCGTTTCACCTGTCTATAAGCCGTATTATTGACCTGTAGGCGCTATCAGAAATCACTTGTCAAAACCAGTAATAATAATAATAATAATAACAATTTTGCAGACAGCATCCATTTTTTCTAGTAATTTCCACTTTACAAGTCTAAAAACGCTTAGACACAATGAGAAGCAAAAAAACCGTTAGAAAACTTACTGGCCATTTTCCCCATAGGAATGGTTAAAAAACAATTTTCTACGAAAAATGGTTATTCTAGGCACTAGGAGATTTAACCAATGTTCAACCGACGGAACAGTTTTTTTCTATCAAAATGGTCACATTTTAACAGTTTATAACGGCGTGCTAGTGTTGAAGCTACTAACTTCTCCCTGTTATTATCACAACGGTCTGAAAGACACTTTTGATGATTTACTAAGGCAGATGATATTTTCATTAAAAAGTCAACAGTCCTGTTTTTGATACAACCTTTTTCTTTTTCTTTTCTTCTTCTTATTTTCTCTCTCTTCCTAGCCATCCATTCTTTCCTTCTTTCATTCATTCTTTCCCCTTTTCTCCTTTTCCTCTCCTCTGTTTATCTTCTCATCTTTATTTATTCTTTTCTTCTTCTTGCACTGATAGTCCTCTTTTCAACGCCCACACTTACATTTATATTTATAATTATTGCGGGGCCCTCTCTAAAAATTAGTAAGAAGGATGATCGATATTTTTTGAAGAGTTTCGAGTAATTTTTTCAAAGATATATTTATCGTAGTAATTTGCGATTTTATAGCCTTCTTTCTAAATGATGGTATTAATGGTTCACTCTCGTATACCTGAATTCTCCTGCCTCTTATTCACGAAGAAAACGTCAGTTGTGCTTAAATGGTTAATAGAGACTAAATGATGACTAAAATTGACATCCTATTTGTTTTAAAGCGCGTAAAAATTCTTGTGATGGGCTATCTGTATCTGCATGATCAATTTCATGTAAGCCTTTCACATATGAAGGATAGAGGTGAGAACTTTCACAGTTGACATTCCTTACCCTCAGTGCCTACGAGACATTCGTGTATGCATACTTGAGTTTGTATGTAAAAATCCTGTGCTGCAGATCGACTATGCTATGGTTTTCCAGTCGTAAAAGTAGAAGTCATCATACTACTTTGTGGGCATGTTCAGCTTCAATGGCGAGATATACCAAGATAACTGTGAGTTTATCGTTTATTCCTTTTAAAGATTTACCACCCATCGTAGCTGGGAGGTGTTCCTGGGTGTTGGACTGCGATGTACAGCGGGTGGATTCGTCTCAGTGGCAGAGTCTCCCAAGTTGAGAAGGAGGCCCACGTTTCCATTAGGAAGCCAACCTAAAAATAAACCAACATCCCGATCCACCACCGTCCTGGTATAAAAGTCGCATGATGGCAAATCTCCCTCTGATCCGCAAGGGCTGCGACAGCCTGTCGTGGTGACTTGGGGCAGACTTTGGCCAGGTTGAGTTCGGGATTCCAGGGAACCACAATGGCTTAACCAGCAAATCTCCTAAAAATGATGATTATGCTGGGGTCCGCACCACTAGTGAGGGCGGGTTATTCAAGTATCAAGTAAGTAAGCAATCGCTTGTTTACTGCTTGCTGTATTTTTTCAAGGCGCTGCTATCAGCACTCACCCGTCAGCGAAATAAATCCCGGATGTCCCGGATGAATCACGATCACGGTTGATTGCGGATGGTATCGCTAGGTAGAAAATTAGCTGAGAGGAGCGAAAAGAAAGGGCCTCAGTGGTGCAGTGTGTAATACGCGGGCTCTCGGAAAGTGTAATCGTGGTGCGAACTGGCCCGGGGTCCAAGTTTTGAATTATATCAGCATCGTTGTGGTTGTATAACTGTGAGTGTTTCTTGTCAAAAAACACATAAGACAACAGCTCTCATTATCCTGTCGCCAAGGAGTCAAAGTGTCATTGGGTAGGACGAGTACAAAGAGTCACTGGTCCACCTCCACAGCCGCCCGCCCATTCTAGAGTGCCTAAATCTGGATGAACCCCTTGTAAAATACCCACACTCACATCTGAATACTCTTCTGAAGAGGTGATTTTGCAGACTGTAAAAAACTATGTGCAGCGTCACACTTTCGTGTGAGACAGAAAGACGCTTCCCATTAGGAGTCATTTGTGATCCTGAGGTATAACTGTTTCTGGAATGTGCGATGAGAGTGGAGTCTATGGGGTTTCGTCAACAATCGGCACGAAATTGGTCATAAATACTGGTTCCTTCGAAAAACTAAGCATTCAAATAGGACATTTACGTTTAAAGATGTAAGTTTTCCCACATTGCTTACACCTTAGCATCGCCTCCTTAGGAAGAAGACGAACTAGAGGTGTGCTATATAAACTTTGAAACACGATGCTTTCGAAATTATTGCTTGCACAAGGTCATCCATTTGAAACGTTGGTTCAAAGAATAGGGGCTATCTGAATTTATCAGGACGAACAACACTAGGAATTTCAGAAGCAGTCAGTCAAGTTCAGAAGAAGATTGTTGGACAAAACAGTCGGCAGCTAATGTTCTCATAAAAGATATATCAAGTCACAGTAAATCAATACTTTATAGCGATGCCGACATTTTCCCAGTGTATTTGCGGCATCGCATCGGGTCAACACTTCTTCACGGAGGAATAACCGTTTCGGGGAAACCGGAAAGGACCATAAAATTAGGAAAAAAAATGTTCAGTGCCAGTTAAGATTTTGCCTCAACAAAAAAAATGGTAATTGACTACGTATTTGTAATAACTAAAAAGTTATCTATGTAATCACGATCATCTGCATCATCTGTATCACCCGTAGTCCCGTTGATTGTTGAATGACTCGATTGAGCGCCAGTAAACCTTCCACTTTTCGCTGTTGCGTGCAAGAGTAGCACAGTGGGCTCAGCTCGCTCTTGCAACTTGTTGAGCATGCATTATATCTTTCTTCTGGGCTCTTCGTGAAAAATTCTGACCATCGGGTCGGTGGTCTTCCTGCCGTACGTTTAACATCAAGAGGAATCCAGTCACTAACGGCTCTTGTCCACCGGTTGTTATTCATATGCATTACATGTTCGGCCCACCTTATCTTCTACTGTTTGGCGTACAGAACGGCATCTTTAATTTTTGATGGTTGACGCAGGTTGGAGCTTCGGATCCCATCCCTTACTTGCGTAAATTGCGTAAAACGGGATACTCCTAGCATCGTCCTTTCGACCGCGCGTTCGATAACGCTGACTGATCAGCCGAAGTTAATTGACAGTCAGTTTAAAATATTGGTATGATCACGTTCAATAGCATAGTTCAAAGTTATGAATATGGATTGGTATGTGTAATAAAAATAATAATTTTATCGATTAGTGAATCCAAAATATCCCAATCATCAAGTCCAGTGATTTGAATGCAAAAAATTTGAAATAAACTGTGAATTCGTGAAACGAACCATAGTTACAATGATGCCGAGATATTTGCAAAACTCCGAACCGCAGGATATCTGCGGTGAGGATAGTAGCAACAAGTAGTCCTTTAACTAACAAGTAAGCTACGAGTAAACAACAACACTCGTATTTTCCTTCTATAAATTTCACGTCCCCTTTTGTTACGAACAGCGAAAGCAGTTATGCTGCTTCGTATACCAATTAAAGAATATGTGTCTTCACCTCCACTACCTTGATACAGAGGTCCCTGCAAGCTATTATATAGGCTAGACATACATTCAATTGCCTGTAACAATGCTTAGTGAAACAGAATGCATCGCGGATCTCTTAGGGACTGATCAACGCTGAATGTTTTATCCCTTTTTATTCTCTCTTCACCGAGCTGTCGTGTCACATGACCATAACGTTAAATCAAACACATTACAGCAACGAAACCTCATTATATCAGTAAAAATATTCCTATCAGTGGAACAATCAGAATATAGAGGACAAAAACAGCTCTCGGTGTTGATCAATCCTTGAAGGATGCGCCATGCATTCGACTTCATTAAGCACCGTTTGGAGGTGATTGAATGCAATATTTAGCCTTTGTAATGACTCGCGGTGGCCCACTGATGTATCGAGCCAGTGCTGATTTCCTCCCAGACAATTCTGGTACAAATTTGATGACCCCGGAGCGATAGAAGGCTTGTTAGGCCGTGAGCGCGGTGATCAATTCCACGTGCGTGTCGAAGTGAGGCCTTCAACCACTGCGCCGCACGCTCTCGGTTATTGCAAGCTTTTTTCTCGGCTAACTTTTCGGCGCTTTCGCCCTTTTTGGAGCAGTGCTTACTCCGAGTCGGTTGTTAACAGCCGGTCATTGTGACGACATGGTCGTTCGTAGTCGTGGTGTGGATGTTAATAGAATTCACTTTTCGGATTCTTTGAAAGGAGTTGAATGCATGGCACATCCGACATGGGATGATCACCAGCGAAAGTTGTTCGCTTTACTCTTTAAATAGGCTATCCTCAACTAGACGATATCACCTTGGCCTTATCACTGTAATTACAAAGAGCTGATAAATGCTGGGTATATAAAGGAGCTTTAGAGTGTTTCTTATTTTCATTAATTCGATTTCACTTCACACAACCAGAAGAAGGAAGAAGAGGAAATGGCTGATAAGTCTGGCTACATGGGAGCAGCAGGCTACTCCGGATATGTGGGATCTGGAACAGGTGGAGGATTTTATGCAAAAGAAGAGTACGCAGAAAGTACTGGATTACGCGGAGGATCTTCACGTGAGTTTTTAAATAATCTTGCTGAAGTGCCGCTTCATACTGTTTTTTGAGAGCTTGTCTGATCCGTGCACCCAAACAACGGCTTACTGTGCAAACCATATTACTCGACATAATTTTTACTTCTAAGAGGTGGCTGAAGTTTTAGTGTTTGCAGTTAAGCTTTCGACGGCAGTGCTGCTTTTTGGAATCGGTTCACTCATAACGGTGATTCTGAATGAAACGTTCTAGTCTATTCTCAGTTCGAATGACCCATACGAGATGAATCGCTGCTACGCACCACCCAAAGTCTCCTATCGCTACGATAAGACGAAAAACTATTAAGGGGCGCTTAAGGAAAAGTTAAATAACATCTCCATAGCTGTTTGTTAGATTTATGAAGACTTGTGTGTTCGAGTATGTTAGCTGGTGATAGAGTCAATGATGCTTATCAATTCTTTGATAAGAAATGATAAGGCATGCAAGCACGATCATTGCCGATGCTTTCGCTACCTTTTGCCACACTTAATTATTCGAAGACTGCATTACGAAAAATTTCTAGTGTAATGTTCAATCTTTACATTACACTACTTTAAGTACTTTCAGCACACCAAAACCGCAAAGCAACTACGCTTCGAACGTGTCAGGAAGCGATAATCAAGCATCGTGTTATTTCGGACCCGAATGACTATCGTTCGTAGTTCAATAAAAAGGATTCTAGAAATCTTCTTTTCTCGTGCTAAAACAACGACACGGCACGACTCTGTTCGCTTTATGACCTCTTTATTACACCCTCTTATAAACTCATCTCTACCCGACTTGGCAGCTCAGATCTTCCATGATCTCTTCTATTTAGACACAAAAAAGACTTTTTTTCTGTGTAAGTGGAAGAAGACGATGCATTGCAGTTATTATTCTTCCTAACATATGTAGTGTAATAAAGAACATTATATTGGCCGGACTTTTTGTTCACAACAGTGCTTACAATTCTAAGTGGAAATGGTGGCGTGAGAAAGTTCCCATGCCCAATATCGATCTGTTCTCCATAAAAGTGGTGACGATAATGACGTATGAGTACAATGACTTCCTCGTTGGGGGTGCAGAGCCTTTTTCTGCAAGACGTGGATAGTTCTTCAATAGCTAAAGCACTTGAGGCGTTGGAAATGATGAATGGCTTCAAGAAGAGACTTTGTTCTATCTGTTTAAGAGTAGGAATGAGTCTTTAATTCCGTTGTTTGCTCGTTAAAGCTGCCTAGGATTACAACTTCGAAAACAAATGAAAACGACATTTTAACACTTGGAATTCTAGAAAAATACCCCGGTGGCCATAATTATTTGAGGACATCATCGTATTCTAGTGGGTGAAATATCCCTTGTTCAATTGCCATCATTTTCGAAATTCAAATGTTGACAAAAAATAAATCGCCAAAAGTGAGGATTGGGGCTCATAAAATCAGGATTTCGTGTTGGCAAAGTAGAAAAACATGCACGTAATTGGCGAAAGGCTGAAAGTTCTGGAATTTTCTATTTTAATCATTAAAATTCACTTTAGGCATAGATGTGTGGTTCTAAGCTGAGCACGACCGCTGTTTCTGCATCGTCTGAATGGAACTGAATTTACGTCGGACTCTAGCTGTTAAATTAGTGCACCGTGCACTATTTCCCAAACACACACTGACACGCACACACGCCGACATACACACATACAAAAACACACACACACACACACTGACACACACACCGACACACACGCAGACCACACACACACACACACACACACACACGCACACACACAAACACACACAACACTACACAACACAACACAAAACCTATGAGGCGGTAAACCGTTGGGTGGAAAATCACGCTATGAGCTACCAAATGCTAGTTATTCAATAGGTTAGTATTTAAACATTCTTTTGATCTTTGCTCTCACTTTTACTCTCTTTCACGCTTTGGTTTTTGCACTTATACTTTCTGCTTATTAAGAGAATGTCCATGTCCGACTAAGGAAAGAGGGTTTGAGCATCAAAATCAGCGCTCTGCTGTGTGAACTGCTAGTAAAGCAGGAATGTCGTATGATCACCACCTTTCTGGGCGGTCCAACATAAGATTATTGGATATTATCCATTTTGAGCTTTTATCCGTTTCGGAGTACATTCATGCACGGTCTGTGAATATTCCCATTTCCTTGTATACTTGGATGATCCGTCTTCACGTATCGTACGGGTCCTACAAAGCATTTGCTTTCGTTTCATTGCAGTGGTCACCCACAGAGTGTGTATGATCTACCTGTGATTGTGACTTGTGCACATGATATCATCACTCTCCACTGACATATTTAATGCTTAATGAAAGTGAATTTCTCTTTGGTGCCAAGGTAGTTATGCTAAGGCGTTCTAAAGTAATGAGCGTGGGTATTTATTAGCCGTCGTACATCGTAACGAAGTTTAATGTCTTGCGACTCATATTTTTCCCGAATCGCTACGACTCCTTCACTAAACGTCATTCGAGAACGGCATTTCTAACCGAATGCCCTATTCATTGGAAGAAACTCGCCAAAACCGCTGTGGATTTCAATACAACTGAAACCAATCAGTTAAACAATGCTGTTGGATAGGAGCTCAACAGGTGAAACGACACGCAATCGGACTTGCAACAAAATCTAGCATGCTAAATATCAATTTATTTATCACTGATACCTCCAACACATGAAATGATGACAAACCTGAATAAACAAGTTAGTGATAAGACTGAATGATACGAGTTGAGCTATGAGGATCCCATTATTTGATCAATCACGGCGTGTGTTTGGCGAAGATGATCAGCGGAGGATTTGCATACAAGAATAAGGATCATATAGCGGTGAGTCTCAATTGTTCGAACAAATGCATTGATCTACTTCGGTTCACATACACCGCAAATTCATTTGTCGTAGGTTACTTCTGAGGTTGGCACGCATGGATGATGTAGTTTTAGATGAGCGTATTTTAATTAGACCTCACGGTGTCCGTGTACAAGTGCTTCCTAGTCTTAACACATCGCTACTCGTTGAGTGGCTTGGTTTTCTGGGATATCGAGAAGGTTGAACCAAGGCATACTGGAATCATCGTAGTTGGCTGTCATTTCCTTCACAGCTCATATGGAGGTTCTAATGCTGTTCAATAAATTCAATTTGCTCAATAAATTTTTAAAGCGCTTTCTTCAACAAACTACAAGATTAGACGAAAGCCGAAATCAACCGCTTTCTTACACAGTACTTTCATTAGAAAATAATTGAAGATGATTTTTGACTTCCTTTTCACCGAGCATAATCAGATGATGTATATGACTCGCCCTTTACTATGGTTTTGTTATGAACTAAGAACTCATGATGCATCTGGATTTTTGTTAAATCTTTAAGTGTTCTTTTTGCTACAAAGTAACTATATGCCGTATCCTTGCTCCTTTCACAATCACCTGTACCAACAGGGATCGAAACATTGTGACCTTAAACGGCATTTGGTAGTATAAAGATCACACAATCAACTCGCCCTGGAAATTTTTCCCTTCATGACTTTGAAATATTTTGAGCCTTAACAGAGCAAATAAAGGAGTGGAACAGCGCCGTGGTAGTGAACTCTAGCTGGGCCCACCAAGTTTCCCATTTCTACGGTCACCGGGGTTGCGCTCCGCACTTGTCAGGGATATGATCACTGGCTGTAATCCACAGTGGAATTCCCTAGCACACGTCTCACCACACCATGGAGAGTTGACACGACAAGCATTCAAGGATAGTCTCCATGATGAAAAAAATCCTCATGTAGCCAACGAGGACACACGTTAAAAAAAAAGTTCGATAATTTTAGTTATTGGTGAATGCGAAGAAACGAATCAAATGCAAAAAAATGCTGGGAAGCACACAGCTTGATGCACGTGATGTCGAGTCATGTAATAAAATAAAAATATGACCAACTCAAGGATGAAAAGGTCGCTTTTCTCAGTTTATGAAAATAAGTGCTTCAAGACGTTTAGGAGCAATTTCACTAATGCCAAATTTTGCATGAAATCTCGTTTTTGCTGCAGTTCTTAAGATTTCTCAATCTCTTTGAAAATAACTTATATGCTATCACTAGTTGAACAGTATTCATGTGGATTTGGTGCGAGCGTAGACCAATGGTTAGAGGTGCTTTGCAATACAGATGTACTCCTTAGTTTAACCACGTGACCAGAGGTTTCCAAGCATAGCACACCTCCCGGGTCGCAAGTCGTCGAATACTCCAAAAGGGCATTCAATCATCTATCGTTGTTTGATGAAGTCCAGTGTATAGCAGATCCCTCAGAAATCGGTTAAAGCCGAGTGACCGTCTTTTTTATCTATATCGGATGCGTCATAGAATACAACGTTAGCTAACAATTAGAGATAATAGGCCTCGGTTGGCACGGTGGATAACACATCACTCCACAGAAAGGATAATCGCGCGTTCGAAACACAGCTGAAGCTTCGAGTTTACTTATATCTCACCATCTTCTTTTAATAATGTGTTCTATTTCATTGCACTCCACGATCAGCTCTCATTTCTTTTAGGTGATTTTCGACAAGATATATCCGGATGGAACTCTACCGGTACGATCATTAACAGTCCTTTCTTTATAAATAGGAGTTAACTTAGTCCTTCATGATTGTTGAGCATAAATAGTTACAAAAATAGCTAAGCTAGTATAAAACGTCTTAAGTTTCTGTTCAGTATGCATGCTCGAATACTGAACTTTTAGAGGAGTCTGGCACTCCAAATGCCGGTTATCTCTAAACCTAGGCATAAATAATCCGTATGTCTATATCTGTTTTTACGAACTGCTTTTCTTGAGTTGATGCGACGATGCCATAAGTTCTCGTACTTGCTGTTGTTGTCGTTGTTGCTATTGCTGTTGTTTGATGGCTGACGTTTCGGTGATTTCGCTTTTCTAAGAGCCGTGCTGTTGCGAATGGGGCCCTTAGAAATCGGAAATATCTTGGTGATACATCTCTTGATAATTTAAAAGGCCTACTTCCTATTAACCTCGATATAAATAATCAATATGTTCATATATATATACACATATACATGCATATATATATATATTCTTACGAACTGAGACTGTTGAGCAGATACGAGGTCCCACTGGCACTTCCACGGCTTTAAGACCGAGGTTAAGAAAAAGTCGACCTTAGGAACTGTTAAAAGATATTTAGATATACTGAATCTGATACTGTAGCATTCCTAAAGGTTAACTGTTGTTATTGTTTCTTATGCACGCCTATAAGGATTAATCAGTTAGTCAATGAAAACACCAACGCACACATATTCAGGAATCTTCGATGGCTTCTCAGGTCAGCCCATAGAAACGCATGTTTTCAGTGTTGAAGTGGTCTTTGAAAAAGTTTCACTCTCTGCTGCGATCAAATCCGGTTTGATCTTTAACCATATGATTTAGTTAGGTTGATTGCTCTCTTGTTTACAGAGAAATAAATCCATGACAGTGGTGTTTTCCATTACTGTGATTGCAGCTCGTAAACACGTAACTCGTAACCGTGACTGATAACCAAATGTTGTTATGATTCACAAAAATCCGGCATAGCACTCTCAGACTTTCTAACTGTCATAAATCTATAAGGGATTGCTTGCAAATTTCTATTCAGGAAGTTTGTCGACTTTTTATTCCATCCTGAAAAATATATCGACATATTCTGACCTCTAGACAATGTTTATTATCCGGATTTCCAAATCCAACCTCTGATAAATTTGAAATCTTGGACACAGGCACTATTCATGAATTCTCTCCTCTTGAACGATTAGAATCAAATAGACACCTAGCACGAGTGGTCCCTCCACAATAGTGCTACTAGTTCATTAAAAAGGTGTTGTTTCGTTTTAATGTCTTACTTTCTAATGATTAAGGCCGAACCATTCCACATGAAATCTTTCATAGCAACGCCAGTTTCATGTGACTGTCCATCGAAAGTAGTCATCGAACGGTATTGCACTTGCAAAGGTACTCATCTGTTCTTGCTGTGACCAACTTATTCAGATATTTTCTTTGGGGTCGATGTTGTTACGTGGTGTAGGCGATGAACAATTACAGAAGAAACGTCAACTGTTTGTATTCCTCTCCGGGCTCACGAGAACTGGGAGTATCGGCCCGAGCGGTTGAAAACGTTGTTAACGGTCCTTTGTTTTTTCACTGTTATGTTCATTAATCATTTTGTGCTTGCTGTTATATCGGATATTATAAGCAGGTAAGTCTTCTTGAAATATTTTTTTAGTAGCCTGCCCGTTTATATTGGCTCCGCATATATTCTGGAAAAAATTCTAAAATCTCGCTAACTTTTCAACCATTAAGTGCAAAATCCTCATTTAAAAACAGAGTTTTATGTGTGAAGGCGAACACATCTTCACGTGAAATACTTCCGAATGAGCATCAATTTGTAAGCAAGGCTGATAAAAAGATAAAAGATGAAGCTCTTGGCGTTAGTCGTTCCCTGAGGGGATGCGCCATACATTCCCCTTCATTAAACATCGTTATTAATGATTGAATAGATATCTGGTTCGCGGTGGCATGCTGATGTATCGAATGAATGCCATTTACCTCCCAGACAAGCCTGGTACCAATTTGACGAATCCGAACTGATAGAAGGCTTGATGAGCCTGGGACGCAAAATCGAACCCATGTGTGCTGCATGACACCTCTAACCACTGCGCTACATCACACGCAGCCTTAGAAAGGCCAGTGAAAAGAAATTTTTTGTAAATGGAACTTTCAATTGTAAACAGTCTCGAAGAAGACTGTAAGCATGTAACTATAACACGGGTTCTGTTCTTGGAAAAGTTGGCACTGTTTCTGCCTTTTCGAATACTAAATTGGTGACGTTGGGTTTGTTTCATGGTGGTTTTATACAACGACTGGTTTAATCCCAGTATCTGAAGTTTCGGAGACGCCCTGCGTCACGCACATGGGATCGATCGCTTCTCCGTTGGCTCACCAAGCCTTCCATACCTCCGCGGTCGGCAAATTGGTACCACAGTTGTCTGGTAGGATAGCAGCACTGGCTCGATACATCGTACGCTATCGCAATTCATTGTAAAGGGCAGATATGCACTCAATCACTTCCAACAATGCTTAGTGAAGTCGAGTGCATGGAGCATCCCTCAACGATTAACCAACGCAGAGAGCTTTATCCTTCGTCCTTTCATCTAGAGTTTTAACATTGTCTTCGAATCAACTAGTGGCAAAACCGAGCAAAGGATTCGTCACCGGATACATACCTCCTTCGGATCTACATCGCCGTGATGACCCGGATACGCTCTTGGAAAGTTAAGTCAGGACTCCAGGAAGAACAAGTTGCACAACCATCAATAGGTGAGCCTACGCAGACTGATTGCTTTCGCCTTTGACGTCAGGCGGTGAGACGACCAGTGAGAGGCCACGAAATCTCGGGCTACGGATGACGTCATTGGAACTGGATCTGGCAAACACACGCACAACGCTCCGTGGAGATTGTTTCTTACTACGCACGTATAATGCCAAAACGCTCTCCACAGACTCTGATCTTCACGCCGTTCTTGTTGCCGCAGATCGAATTTAATTTCATGTGATCATACTACAAGAAACAAAAATCAAGAAGACCACGCGACCGTTGTGATCCGTGGAGAAAAGATCCCGTGACGTAATGTCGGCGGCGTAGGCTTTGTCGTCCACCCGCTCATTGTTCATCTCGTCGACTCATACGAAATCCTCTGCCCCCGCATAGCCATCCTACGTCTTCAGCTGACGCGTTATAAGAAGATCACTATCATCAACTGCTACTCACCGAGCAATGCAGCTGATGAATATGAATTAAATGTGTTCTACTATCAGTTGGAGTAAGTAATCCGCAATGATAAAGCATATCATGAAATTGTTGTCGGAGACTTCAACGCCAGAATAGAAAGGCCAGCGAAAGCGATGTAGGATCTGAAATTTTGGATTAGAAAAAAGAAATGAGAATGGAAACCGCCTCGCACTCCAGTCTGCGGCACGTCTCTTTCATGGAAATTCCTTTTTCCAGAGAAAGAAGAGAGCCGCCTCTGAACATGGGAGTTCCCAACGACATGACTCATTCGGTGACCGACCGCATTCTGACAAGCAGAACATGGTGTCTACATGCCAGATCGGTACTCTGGTCATTCTGTATTAGTTTCAATCATTGCCTTCTTCGTGCTAAGATTGAATTTAGTTATGAGCTGAAAAAGAATGTCATTCATGTCATAATTCATGACCACGAGGAAAAAGTCTAGCTGTGTACGACGAGAACATTCTGAATGAGGCCCTATCTAAGCGTGACTACCGGATTAAAAGAGACCTGACCAAAGCAGCTTGTCGAAGTATTGAAAAGCTGTGCCGAATATGCAAGGTCGGATAGCGTTTCCAATAGTACTAAAGAGTTGCTCGAAAATAGAAGGAAACTGAAGCTTGATCCTACGGCAACAACTTTAACACGGCTAGTAATAAAAGCCAGCTGCAGAAGAGCTTTGCAGAAAGATCTACATTGGTGCAAGCAGAAAAAACTCCTGGAAACAGCAGAGAAAAGAAGCAGTCTGAAAAAATGTCGTCGGAACCTGTATGATTATGTTTCGCTGTAAACCTGATGAACAAAGGTTGGATCGTCAAAACTTTCCGCCATGATATGGAAATAATAACGAAGACGTTCTCCAGCAACCTTTCCCGTTCTACAATCCTCTTCCCAGATCCTAACTGGTGAAAAGCAACTGGAGCTCTTCCATCGGAGGTTTGAGTTGTTATAGAAAGCATGAAAAGAGGCACAGCTCCAGAACCCAGTAATATTACCCATGACTTCCGTAGAGCTGGAGGCTACAATTTGCATGTGCCTCCGGCAAACCATATTATCGCGTACCTTCAAAAGAAAAACCCAGACTAGGGGAAGACGTCGCGCACAGTCAACCTGCCCAAGAAAGGAAATCGAAGAAATCATTGTAACTATCGTCCCATATGCTCGTTAAGTGTACTCTGCAAACTCTTCACGAAGACTATCCTCTCGCGCATAACAAGGACATTACAGGAGGCGCAAGCAGCCGAGCAAGCAGGATTTCGAAAAGGATTTTGCTGCATGAATCACATTCAAACCTTGTCCAGGGTAATCGAAGTGTGTCGGGAATACCACTTGCTTCTAGTCCTAACCTTTGTCGACTATGAGAAAACGTTTGACAGTGTCGAAACGAATGCAATCCTATCAGCGCTCGTCGACCAAGGAGTGGACCCGTACTACATAATAACTCTGTCCGACTGTTATCGGAACTGCACTACGAAAAGATCAGCTTTTCCACCGACCTCTTACAATACTCATCGGAAAGAGGTTCGACAGGGTGACACAGTATCGCCAAAGCAGTTCAGTTCCCACTGCAATGGATAATGAAGTCACTCGATCAGGATGAGAAAGGCATACGTATTGACGGAAAATTCCTATCAAACGTTCGTTTTGTCGACGACATTGTTATCTTCTCAAAAAGTACTAGTAAAGCCACGATGATGATCAACAGGCCCACCGAAGCGGTAAAAAAGATCGGGCTGAGCATAAATCGGAAGAAAACTCAGTTCATAAGAAACCCATGGTGCGAAGGCGATAAATTGAATTAGATGGCTCTCTGATTTCAGAGACCGCCTCCTAGGTATACCTTGGACGATCAAAGAGCATGGAAAACAATGTGAAGGAAAAGCTAGATAGAAGAAAGAGAGCAGCTTGGGCCACATTCGGGCCTCTCAAAGAAGCCACCGACCAACTGAAGGACTCGAAAATCCGCACTCATCTCTTTGATTCTACTGTCCTCCCAGCGCTCTGTTATGCTGCAGAGACGTGGGTTGATACTTCTACTACGTCAAGAATGCTTCGAACTACTCACAGAGCGCTTGAGCGATGTCTTCTGAAATATAATCGGCACTACGTTGCTGAGATATTTGCAAAACTCTGGACCGCAGGTGTCTATGGTGGGGAACGAACGCGCTATTGTCCTTTCCGGGGAGTAACGCGTTCACCATCACACCATGCGGGTCCTTTGTTTCGCCTGTCTCTCAGTTATTTCTATCGACCTTCGCCACAGCAAACACCCGTCAGCGGGATTGATCTGGGAAGCCCAAATCGGCATAGAACCCAGTTAAGCTGCGGCGGTAGTTGAAATCTCAATGTTATACCTTTTTATTTTCTGCCTACTATAATTTCGCGGCAGGTTAAAATTATTTCCCATAATACGGTGTTGTGAAAAAAGAAATAGGCAATAAATAATAGCTAAACAATGACACAATCATTCCACTGCAAACGATTTGTTGTTTTAATAACTCGAAAGACCGACTTTCTATAAACCTCAGCATAGATAGTTGATATATTTATTTATGTGATCTTATAAACTGATCTTCTTAAGCTGACGCGAGGTTCGTGCAGATCTTCGTTGTTTTTGATGTTATTGATCGATGGCTGACGTTTCTAAAATCCGTTTAAACACCCCTCTAGGTACGCATAGGGCACAAAAGCACAACGGCGATGATTTTGAAGTGAATGTGCGGATCCTAGCGCAGGAATCAAAAACATCAACGCGCAAAACTCTTGAGGCGTTTTGGATAAATTTCAAAAATCCAAAGATGAACCGGAAGGGCGAATGCCTCATTATCACGCCTGACCTGGCGCCCTATTTCAAAATGCTATTTTGACCCCGCGGTGTGTCTTGCTCGTGACTCTTCGAAAGCAACGCGTGGGCCAGTCCCGCACGTAACATCACGGTGAATGGCCTTTCTGTTCAATATGGCGTCTTTCTGTTCAATATGGCGTCTATTTGAAAGTTTGATCTTCATTAACACTTTAACCTTTCTTTTCCACCGAATAATAAAAAGTATTCTAACATAAAGTACGTCCAGGCTCTGAGGAAGGCGAAGTCGCCGAAACGTCAGCCATCGATCAATAACATCAAAAACAAACAACGACAACGACAACGACAACGAAGATCTGTACCAACCTCGCGTCAGCTTAAGAAGATCAGTTTATAAGATTTGTTGTTTTGCTGTTCAGGATACCGCTTCCGGACTTGGCGCACTCCCTCATTAAGCAATACGACACTCCTAGACATTTAGCTGATCTCTTTGCGTCAGCTGCAGTTACTGTATTGTTACTCGTATGCAGTGTATTTCATAAATATAGGTGAGCGGCAAATCCTTAGCCGAAAACCACGAAGTTATTTTTTTTAGTTTACCCTTAATTTTGTTTACAACTGTTTCTTTAACTAAGATTTTGTCGACATCTGCATTGATGACTTTCTCAAATCTGTTTCCTAATCCTTTAGCATTTTAAACCTAACGTTGACTGCAGTTCCGAAGTTATAAAATCGATGAAACTTTGTTCTTACAAGATTTATTTGGTGAGCCGGAGAAGGAGATACAGAAAGTGCGCGGTTCGCAAAAGGATGGAGAAATCCTGTGTATATACACATATACGTATATATACACATGTATCTTACACTATTGATGAATAACACATAGGCCTAACACTTTATGACAACTATTTCTTCTCGCTTCGTACAACTGCTGACATTGATTAGCGTAGGAAAATAAGTAATTATGTTATCAATTGGTCGTCTCGACTTCCAGAAACGCAAGCCACAAGTTTTTGGGAGCTGGTGTCGGTAACGTAGTTGGGTCTTTTCCGTTAAGAAATTAGACGTCGCGAGTAGAGGATGAGGATTCAAATTTCACCAGTTGTAGTCATGGTATTCAGAAACTGTATGGGTCATGAAGCACGAGCGAATGGAAGTTAATCGTATATTTCCGATATAATTTCTTCTCGAATACATTTTCTTGCGCACGTTGCATTCGAGATTGCGCATGCTTCCGGAAACGGATCGTTGACTACACATATTGGTCGTCATTATGCATGCTTAGTAGTCTATTAAGTTTAACTGTAATACAGAAATATGATTCGCACAGGCAGCCTTTCAACAGTATGCCAACTTATCTTGCACAGAGCGTATTTCTGGATGCCGAACACCTATGTACTACGGTGACCCAGCTTGGTGAAGTGGAAAGCATTCCGGTACACGCTAAGCGCTGGGATAAGTAAACCTATTTACGTTGGATCAAAATCCAGCGTACAACTCTTTGATATGTTTTCCTCTACAAATGCTAACAGGGTACCAGGTGAAAAATGCTGTTGCAGCTCCTCAAAACGCGAGGAGACAACTACGCATTTCTGATTCTCTATAAGGATGAGTAGAGCTAATCGGTGATGAACAGAACCTGCTTTGCAGTTACATTAGCATATTTATGTCATGTATACACTGGTCATGTCAGATACCTAAAGCCCAGTGAATGCAACAACTAGGAAACAGTAACTTGCAGTAATAACCTACTTTACACATTTCATAATAACAGAAATGCTTTTTTCTTCTATTTTATTTTATTTGATCCGTCCTCACGTCTACTGTGGCGGATCCCAGCACTTCTGACACTCGATTCGTTTCCTGGCATCCATTGCCCACCAAGGTCTTCCAACTTTTACATGTGGCTTCGGCTATTGCTTGAGTATTTTTATTTCATCTTGAATGCCGTAGAATGTTGGTCAAGTCGGTTCACACTGGAGTCTTGAGATAGCCGGGCTGAAGCTTTCCAAATTGGATTGCAGAGAGTGCTTTTTTCCCAAGTGAGGTACCAATTTCCCGATATATGCATGCCTTTTGTATTCCTTGTGTTTCTTTCTCGTTCAATTTCCAACCCTCCAAAGTTGAAGCTTTAGCATCATTCTGTAAAGAATCGACTTTATTTGTAATACAGAGGACTTATAATATGAAGATTTCCTATATTTAGGTGGATAATCACGCGGCGACTTTTCTACATCGGATCCGTGCTCTATATTATGCGAGCGATCAGCATATGTCTCACCCATATTCCATCAGGATTTCATGATTTTGAAAATGAGTCAGTTAATAAGAAAGTCGATTTACAAAAGAGATCTCTGTATCGTTTTTTCCTATAATCCGATTTTTAGTATATGCGTTCCACCCAACCCTGACCCCAACCCTGACCTTGCTAGTGTGGCTTCGAAATTCTTAAGCATATTGGCCACCGTGAGTTTAGACTACTTTGCGAAATAACCCCAAAAAACAAAGTAAAGAGAAGGAGAAAAACCTAGAGCATTTGCAACTGAGGTTGATTCAATCAGTGCACCAAGTAAAGTAAGGAAAAATTGAGTTTGAAAAAAAATTTGAACTTTAAATTATTATTTACTGCCTACTCGTTTTTAATGGCAGGGTATATTGCGAAATATAACTTCAATGATGATGAGATATTTGCAAAACTCTGGATCGCAGGTGGGGAACGAGCGCACTATTGTCCTTTCTGGGGAGTAACGCGTCCACCACCACACCATGCGGGTCGTTCGTTTCATTTTTTGCAGAGTCTGGTTCGGAGTTTTGCAAATATCTCAGCATCATTGAAAAAAAATTTGAATTTTCTGATAAGATTTTAAATGTCTTGGGATGAAAGCAGCTCGTACTATTTGATAGTGAGTTTGAGTGTTATCTTTCGTAGAACAGTTAATTTTTCATTGTTTTAACGATTCGGGACGAGTTTATCGTAGTTCTTTTTTTATTCTGTTGCAGACAGTAAGTTCTACAGGTTTCTTGTCGATCGAAAAACTCTGTTTTCAGTTTGGGCTGCAAGTTCAAATGTCTGGTAACAAATTGCACTGCGGTGATATGTTGTTCTCAGGTCATACGACAGCTATTTCCACTAGTTGTTTCTTTCTAAACTACTATACACCGCATTCACTTTGGCCATTGAAGTTGGTGGATCTAGCGTTTTTTAGTCTTTCACGTGGAAGATCGAAACTCAAGAAAACAGTTTCTGATGGCTTTTCATTCCGATTAGAGCTAAACATTTATGTCAGCATATAGGATTATTTTAATATTTGATGTTATCATAATTTTACAATTTAAGGTTGATTGCAATATCCTCATGTATTATTGCAATGTTTTGTATTGTCATCTCGCGGATTCACTACTCAGTCGATGTTGTAATGGGCTACTGGATCAGCAGTATCATCTTTAGGTAAGAGAAGATTTACAAGACTATTCAATAAGATTAAGAAAATCAGAAAAACGGAAAAGAGTCAGAATAAAGTCCTCTAAAGTATAAAGTTGACTGGAAATTGCAACTTTATACTTTGTTTACATGTTGAAGTTTTCTTAAGAAGTCTTAATTGTATCAGTATTTATTCACTTACTGCCTAAATAATAATAATGTATACATCAAATAGTTCCAGGCACTATCATGCATTAATCAGAGTGAATCAATAACACAGTTTTTGATTTAAAAAAGTAACCATAGGGAACCTTCCAACGGTTTGTCGCCTTGTCGTGACTGGGAGGTGTTCCTGGATGTTGGGCTGCAATGTACAGCGGGGATTTCATTCCCTGGCAGGGTCTCGCAAGCTGAGAAGGAGTCCGGCGTTACCATCAGGAAGCCTAGCCGAGAGTAAACCAATATCAGGATCCACCAGCGTTCTGGTATCAAAGTCGCATGGTGGTAAATCTCCCTCCGATCCACAAGGGCTGCGGCTGTCCGTGGTGGTGAAGACCTGAGGCAGACTTTGGCCAGACTGACTTCGGGACTCCAGAGGACCATAATGACTTAACCAGCAAATCTTCGAAAAATGGAGATTATGCTGGGCCCGCAGAACCAGTAAGGACGGCCGTCCAAGTACAAATGGATCATGACGTCCCATACCTACTTGATATTTGAATGGCCCGTCCTCACCGGCTGAGCGGGCCCCAGCATAGTCTCCATTTTTCGTAGATTTGCTGGTTAAGCCGTTGTGGTATCCTGGATTCTCGATGAAAGCCTGGCCAAGGCCTGCCCCATATCGTTACCACCACAAGCAGTCGCATTCCTTGTGGATCAGAAGGAGATTTGCCTCCAAGCGGCTAGTTTGATACCAGGACGGTGGTGAATCCTGATATTGGTTTACTTTTAGGTTGGCTTCCTGATGGAAACGCTGGACTCCTTCTCGGCTTGGGAGACCTTGCCAGGGGATGACTCCCACGTCATACATTGACAACAGCTGGAAGCAACTGCTAACGTCAGAGACACATTCGAGAGTGTTAAGATCCATAACTCGCTCTGGCGATACTCAATCAATGCCTGATTCAGTCACTTTGGTGGAAAACATAAGATACATTAAGCAAACCTACGATTTGTAAGCTCTACAGCTGTGGAATTACCTTGTGATTCGAAAAAAACGATGACAAAGTTTTTGATTCTAAAAAGTAACCATGGCGATCCTTCCAACGGCTTACCGCCTCATCGTGGCTGGGAGGTGTTTCTGGGTGTCGGACTGCGATGTACAGTGGTGGGATTCGCCACCTGGTAGAGTATCTCAGGCTGAGAAGGTGTTCGCCGTCGAGAAGCCTAGCTAAGAGTAAACCAATACCATGATCCACCACCATCCTGGTATCAAAGTCGTATGGTGGCAAATCTCTCAATGATCACAAGGGCTGCGACTGCCTGTCATGGTGACGACCAAGGGCAGACTTTGGCCAGGCGGTCCTCAGGATTCCAGGGAACCACAATGGCTTATCCAGCAAATCTCCGAAAAATGATAATTATGCTGGGGCCCGCACATTACTGCCTTTTTCCTTCTTAATGGCAGGGTATGTTGCGAAATATAACTCGTATGAAATGCTGAGATATTTGCAAAACTCCGGACCACAGGTGTACGCAATGGAGAACGAACACGCGCTGTTGTCCTTACCGGGGAGCAGCGCACTTCACCACCGCACCATCCGGATCCTTCGTCTTGCCTGTCTCTCAGCTAGTTCGATAAAAAGATCGATAGAAGGACCCAGATGGTGTGGTGGTGAAGTGAGCTGCTCCCCGGTACGGACAACAGCGCGTGTTCGTCCCCCACTGCATACACCTGCGGTCCTGAGTTTTGCAAAAACCGACAATATTGTATACAGTTTGCTTTCAGGTGGTTAAATGGAGACCCAATCTAAAATGAGTAGTAAAAAAAAACAAAACATATAGCGAGAACAGGCAATGTCATATAACATTTTCAATATCACATAACATTTTCTTTACTAGCGTGTATCACGGGTTTTGTGAAGTACCCCATGTGCTTCGACCTCGTAATCGACCTTTTCGACGACTTTTTCTTTTCTGGACAATGTTCGAGCTCGAACGACATGTTCCTGAAGGTCGTATTCCGAATAAGTTGGAATGGCCTTTTCCATGGCCAAAGGTAAGTAGTGTATTAGGGGCATCGCATTAATATTTAAAGCTAATTGAAGCGATCTCATCTTCGAATTATAGTCCTATTTTTACGAATTGTGTTAAATTTGTAAATACTAGAAAGCTCTCGCAGTCACTATGGTCTCCGATATTCATTTAGGCAATCGCCGATCGTTTTGAAGAATGGAACGAACAGTCGAACGATACATCAGCAGGGAGGATAGCACGCTGGTTGTCTGAACATAGAATTAAACTGCATTTTTGAACAAAACGGACATCTGACTCTTGTAATACTACGGCCATGTAATCATTTACACAGTAATTTTCTAACTGTCTTCAAAGGCAAAACATTGTCATCATCCTATTTAATTTCTTCGTTTAAAAACAACTACATGGGGATTTGCGTTTTTCATTCCTGATTGTTTCTTTGTGTTGTTTACTATATATGAGATAAAGAAAACAAAAATCTTCTGGAAGACACAAGAAGGTACTATGAACTACGCAGAGAAGGGGAAAACATCCGGAAAAAATTAAGAGCAAAGGACATTTTGTATGGTAGAAAATGGCGTACTGGTTGGAGGTCTACGAGGATAGCAGCACTGGCTCGATACATCGATAGCCCACTGTCAGTCATTGTAAAGGCCAAATATACATTTAATCACCTCATGTGATACTTAATGAAGTGGAATGCATGGCGCATCCATCAGGGATTGATCAACGCCGTAAGCTTTATCCTTCATCCTTTTACAATAAAAACGAACGTTAGCAGGTCTTTACTAGCCATAAAACAAAAGATATCCTTAGTAAGAATACTCGGTAAGACAGAGATGGGCTATAATTCCGACGTTTCTAGGTTCCGCAATACGGTTTTTGGTAATGTACAGTTACACGCACTTAAAAACGTTAGTAGATCTCTTAATGAAAAACACCCTAACGAAATAGCTGCTACCACACAGTGACAGAAAAGTATCTCATCTTTTGAACAAAAATAACAGTACAAGCTCTTCCATACAATAACACACAAAGAACAAATTCTTCAGAAGGAAGTGAAGCAGACCATTCTGCCGAAACGTCAGCCACAGTTGTGTTGTATGTGTGCTATTGTATGGAAGTAAACGTATGCTTTTTAACAACTTCGCAATTGCAGAGAAAGAGAACGACAAATTTACAATCCAACGCCGAGGTTAATAGAAAGTCGATCCAGGGAACTATTACAAGTAGGAGCTCTATTTGCTGCCCATGTATCCTGCTCGCTATTTTCGAGAATGCAATGGGACACATCGGTTACGTGAACTCCGACGTGGAACCATCATTCGTATGTCGTAATTTATGTTTACAATCCCGTTAAAAACACATAGTGGTAAAGAAAATTGTTATGGGAAAAAGTTTGCCACTCTACTAGGATTTGCGGGAATTTAGTTGCGTTAAGGACACAAAGGGAAAACTATGGCAAAGCACTAAGCAATCACGTACATTTGCAAATGACGTATCGACGCTAAGTTGCTATGGCCTTATTTGCAACAACATGGCTCCTGAAGAAGGCGAAAACCCCAAAACGTCAGCCATCAAACAACAGCAACAACTTGTCAACCTCGCACGAGCTCAACAAGAGCTTTTCGTAAAAACATATATATAGATATATCGAGAATTGCAGCCCTGTTCGATTCTCAGGAAACGGAAGCTCAGCAGTTTTCTGAAGGCACACGTAAGGAAGATCCGGCTCGATGCGTGACGTAAACGCTATCTCGAGGAGAGGAACAGCTGTGGACCATCGACAATGATCGTTGGACCTGATGAAGAAGATGTCGAAACGTCAATCAAATAAACATCTCTATCAACCTCGTGTAAGCTCAACAATGTGAAAACATCTTACTTTTGAGTTCCATTCTGGAAGAAGGTGTCTTTGAACGATGATCATCCGCTTCTCATAAACATCACTTTGTAAGTTTTAACCGAAGACCAATCTTTCCACAGGCGCTATCGAAGGCTGCAAGCATTTGTTCCGCCTGGCTAATACGTGCTGCTATAAAAACGATGTCATTAGCAAAGCGAAGTTGGTGTAATTGCCAACCACTGGTTTTCACTCTCGACCATCGGTTCCGTCCACAATGTTCGCTTCAACTCGACTTCATCAAGCATTGTTAAATGCGACTGAATGTATATATAGCTTATACAATAACTCGTGGTGAGTTACCGATGTGTCGGGACAGTGCTACTATCCTTCCAAACGGCTTCAGTGCTAGTTTGCTGACGGCGCATGTGTGGAGGGCTAGTGTCACGGGATCGAACCCAGCTGTAATGCAGGGTAGTTCTGACCGCTGCGCTGCACGCGCGCTTCAATAGAACATAAAAAAACATAAATAGATCGTAGAGATAGGAAATATAACGAAGGAAGTTGGTATCAATGTATTGGAGATCTTCTACAGAACCCAGTCTTAACTATTTTGTTGTTATGGCTGCAGGAAAGTAGAGCAAGACATGCCATACCTGCGGTCAAGGGTTCAATCAAAGCGAATAGCAATAATTGGAGCGGGAATGTCGAGTATCCATTTTGCTTGACTCTATCATAACCATATTCGTTGTCTTTAACATCGGACATGGTGAACGAACCATGTTATTTGTACCTATCTACTTCATTCATTCAGACTTCCAAAGTAAACCTATAGCTACATTTACTCGTATTTATGTAGTAATTTGGTTAGTATAGTTTTCTATTCTCATGGTTTTTTTCCCATTTTTCACAAAGCATCCAGTTGATATCTCATCATAGACGATGTCAGGTGCAGAATGGTGATTTGGTATATGAGTTGTATTTATGAAAGTGTGGTTCTCTGTGATTTGCGATGTCTGACACTTTAGAAAATAAAGTAGCGTCTGATCATTGTGTTTAGTGACCAGTTACTAAGCTTCAGTCTTATGAACTGAGCGATTGTAATCACTGGTTCTACGTGATTTGCAATGTCTGACACTATAGAAGATGAAGTAATGCTTGATCCTTGTGCTTACCAATTAGTTACTAAGTACGAATCATGTGAACTGAAACATTTAAACGCGACTGAAGCGACAACGACCGAACCGAGCTTGTCTAACGTGTCATCATGCTTCTCTACTGGAGAAAAGCGAAGTTTCAGAAGACTGGAGCAACCCAAGGTGAATTTTGTTTCCGTAAAATTAGCAAATAATGACTTGCACTAGGTGGTTCTTTGTTTTTGGACAGAGTCGAAATCGTCATTGGCAAGTGCTGCCACAACAGATAACTCCAGTCAGGCTGTAACAACAAACAACAAAAAGGTCCGTCTTTAATATATCAATTATCATCAACCATACTAAAATATGACATTGCTTTAGTGCTTGTCAGGATAGTTTTTAAGAAAATAATGTGGTTTGGTTGAAAAAATCTTTCAATGTTGTTTAGTTATAGGCCTGAAGTCACCGCTAGGTGCTGTGCTACGTATCATCATCGTTATTAATAATCTTTGACAGTGCCTCCACCTCACCATTGCGGTGACATCCATATAAAATCTGGAGAAATTTTGTACAAATCGTAAATATTTTAGGAAAATTCCGGTTCACCGAAGAGATGGAAGCATCCTAAGAAGAACAAAAGGAAACCCAAAAAAACAGCAGAGTAGGAACTCGATTATTTTCCATTACTGCAATGGGATTTATCACATTTTCACAATAATCGGAGCAGATGGATGTCATCAATCCAATCTGATTTGACTCGAACTGGTTCTGGATTACTTGATTAATAAAGGGTAAGACTTGCTAAGTTACTTTTTGTCTCACCAACCTGCTTTCTAGTGATTCAGATTCTTTTGCGAAATCTTATCTCGACCATTACAATTGAAATTCGCTCTGGTAATGTACCAGTCAATGCGGTGATAGGTGGGCTATACGATCAAACATCAAGTCTGGCAAAATCATAGTCAGACGCTTTTGTTTGTTAGACGATTTTGCATCGACTTATAGGAAATAATTCGATCCTGAGAGAATATCTAATTCCGCTTCACGTCAAATGCCGCAGGTGGCGTGATTTTCGTTCTTTATCGAGTTTGGATATTTTTACAAAGCAGACGAAGTTACATATTCAATGTCATGGAAAAGATACAAAATAAACTATTTTGCGCACTAAAGTAGTGTTCCTAATTATTACAGGAATTGCCTAGTTGATTCTTTAAACAAATTCAGCGTCTTGTCCACGTACTCAACCTCCTCACCAGTTTGGTTTATCAGACATTACTGAACTTTTTGATGTTTTGCAAGATGTATTGTAGCTGTAAAGCTATTTAATTCTAGTTAGAACTATGTGAGCATTTGTTACGGGATGAACATCTCTGATCGCAGAAGAATCTTCTTTAGGCTTCCTGTTGTGCCAATTATGCATGACATTGATTTATGTGTCTACATGGTGTTTCAAAGAATTAGAATCTAAGCAGAATTGCATGATTGAGACTAGTTGGGATTCGGAGTTTATCGTCCTGATTCAAGATCGAATCTGAAGATGCTGAGCCCAGACTGGTTCGAAACGACAATGGAGGCGTACTCATAGGCTTCGCCATACTGCAGCACGAGCATATTTCGTGTATTGGGTAGGTCTGCCTTCCTGTGATACAACCAAAGAATGACTCCACATAGATGCTGGGAGGTTTGTACAATCTGTTCGTATAGCATTTTTTTTCTTGTCTTGATCGACTGCTGAGTAGCGTCTTATGATAAATTTCATCGGCTACACATATAGCAAGAAAAATTGCCAGTATACCTAAATACGCTCAAATCACAACACGTGGAAAGCGACCAGCTTACAGAACCCTCTCCGAAATGCCCAGTGAATACTGGGGAGTGGCATGGCAGACGCGTGCCATCAGAACACTGTCGAGGTTTCATTTCTTAAGCATCAAACAGTGGTAAGTTGTTACTATGGCTGTTGCTTGATGGCTGGCGTTTTGGAGATTTCGCCTTCTTCAGAGCCGTGTTGTTGCGAGTGAGGCCATAGTGTACATCGATACTGCATTTATAAATGTACCCGTCTGCTTAGTGCTTTGCCATAGTTTCCTCTTGGTGTCCCTAACGCAACATAATTCCCGCAAATCCTATTGAGAGGAGCAAACTTCTTTCCATAACAATTTTCTTCATTATTGTGTTTTTGTAATGATATTGTAAACATAAATTACGAAATG